ACCCGTGTCCCCTGCATTAGCAGGCAGATTCTCAACCACTGCGCCACCAGGGAAGCCCACTGCGCCACCAGGGAAGCCCCACCACACTTTTATACACTGAACGTTTCCACTTCCACTTTCACCTTTCTAGACTCCAGAACTCTGACCCCTTGAGGCTCTTGCACTTGGTGCCTGTTCCCTGCTGCCATCCCGAGCAGCTCCTCTCCCCCACCCTTCCTAGGAACACTTTGGAGCTTCATGTACACAAAACAGGACACAGACTCCAATCCTCAAGTTGATCCCTGGTGCTGTGTGGTCTTTGCGGCCCTTGCAGCACATGGAGAATGGAGAATTCTAGACCATGTCCCTATCTTTATCCTCCTTCCTGAGTCCCAGGCCTCTAGGAAAGCTCCATCCAGAAATTCCATGCTCACCCCAAGCTCAACAGGCCTGCCTGGAGCCCTTTGTCAACCACCAAAAAGAATCTCCTGCTTCCCAGTCACACAGGTTCTAGAACCATCTATCTTGGTGCCCATCATCAAGAGGAACCTTCCTCTCTATTTCCAAGGAACTTGGGTTCCCAGCTGGACCCCCATGGCCTCATGCCAGGATGGCTCCCAACGTCCCTCTTTGCATCTGTCCTGGCAGGGGTGACCCATCCCTGCTCTGTCCTGGGAGGTCCTCTGGTGTCTAAAAGCCTCCACCTGGTTTTGATGCTCCTGTTACCCAAAGGTATTCCCTCACCAACCTGCTTTCCCCACCGGGCACATGCCCCTCACCTTTGGGACATTCCTACACCTCGACTCCCCTGCACAGCCCTGCAGTGTTTTTCTACTTTCTCAGGCTGCCATTCCTTCTCCCCACTGTTCAGTTGTCCAAGACTTCATCAGTCCTCTTGGTGAAGTGGGGTACCAAGAGGAGGGAGCAGATGAGAAACAAAGAAAACCACATATGCCACCAGCGGTCTCTGATCTGACTTCTGAAGAGGACCCAGAATGCACGCAGTGGGATGGAGGTATTGCAGAGGGCTGAGGGCCTCCAGTGCAGCACAAACCTAGTATCATATGGGTGAGGTCATGCTAATTATCATATAATCATGGGTCATGCTGGTCCCAGGTAAGTCACTCACCCTCTCTGAGTCTCTCTTTCCTGTCTGCCTTCCTTTCCTTTCATAATTTTCCTGATGAGTCATACAGGCTACATGCTCTGAAATGGCTTTGTAAATAGCAGAGCCTTCTGCGAGTAGGGGGCTGGGGGGCTTGGGGTATCATCAGACCTGGTGTCCCCCAGTATGGCCCTACTTGCCTGAACTCCCCACTCCTGATGGCTCTGTGCATTTATCAAAGATAGATGCTTTTGACTCCTTGGCGCTCTAATGGATTCAACATGATCTTTTCCATGCAATTATGAGCACCTTGCAATAATTTGTGTGGGTGGCTGTCTCTAAGGCATGGTGGGAGAAACAGAGGCAATGCCCTTGCTGATTTCTGGGTCCTTCATCACTGTCATTATCATCCCCACCATCCCTCTCCTCAGTGTCTGCCTGGGGAGCAGGGATGGGAGGACCCCTCCTAAGGTTGACCCCCTTCCATAGCTTCCTTTTCTCTGTATATTAGCTTAAGGCTAAAATGTCTTTAATTAACATATTTTCATAATGTCCCTAAAGCCACGAAGTTCACACCGCCAGTCCTGGCTCCTCTCCCCTTGGCTTCTCCCAGCCAGCGCTGCTGCCCCCAACATGTCTTGGTAGGGGAGGAAGAAGTACATTAAGGCATGGTCAGCTGAGGTGGCCCCTAGGGGCCTAAGTTCCTGCGTGGCTTCTCTCACAGCCGCCCTGAAGACCTCCAAGGCCCCCGGCCGCAGCTCCCACCCTCCCACCCACCCACCCACCCACCCACTTGCCACCGCTCATCACACACCATCATGTCCTTCAACTCAAGAGATGCCTCTTTCACCTGGCACCTTGGGCTCACTCCCCCAATGCCCCTCACCCCAGCATCTGCCCTGCTCACACCTTCCCAGGGGCACTTCCCTGTCTCGGGGGAACCAGAAAGTCTGTTCCGCATGAGGGAACCCACGGGAATCAGCTTGTAACCAGTCTCTTCCGAGACAAACGGCCGTGAAAAGGTTTAACACGGACCACAGAGTCTGTCTCTCCCTCAGCCTTTCAGCCATTTCTAACCAGAGGGGCTGTCCCTGGCACCCCTGAGGTTCTCCCCAGGCAAGGAGGGAAGCTGCTGGACACCCCGTGGACTCCTGCCCTCGCTGGCCAGGGCTGGCAGCCTGTGCAGTGTCTCTGTGAGGTTTGGAAAGAGCCGACCGTTAGGCTGGGGCAGACCCCAGGATGAGGGCAGGCAGAGCCCCCTGTTTTCCCAGGGGGAAGCCTGGAGAACAGAATGGGTGGATCCCAGCTCCCACTCAGCCCCGGGGTGGGGCTTGGTGCAAACTCTCAACAGCACAGCACAATCCAGACCCCTTCCTCCTCACCCGCGGGTCTCCGGGGTGACCCTTTCAGCTTCCAAAGGCGGGATGAGGTCATGGCCTGGGTGTCCAGCCCTTGGGCAGCCCCCTCCCCTGAAAAGCGAGGGAGGGAAGGAAGAAGGGAGGCTAGCCACCTGCAGCCCTGCCTGAGGCCGGCACACACCTGGACCACCGTGGGGCTCGGGCTGTATCTCACTCACCTGATGTCGTGGATGTGGCAGTGTCGGACGCCCAGAGCCAGAGAGCCATTGACAGGATCCAGGTCGCCAGCATCTCCCTGAGAGTGAGGCCCTGGGTGTAGGATCTTCGCACATCAGAAGAAACTAAGAAACGAGTGCCTCCCGGGGAGGGGTCAGCCATATAAAGGAGCCCAGAGACCTTTGCCTCAGGAAGGACACTGCCTGGCCCCGGGTGGAGGTGAGACGATGGGGTTGGTGGGTGACACGGGGAGTTGGCCAAAGGGCAGACGGTCAACCCTCCTCCTCTCTAAGAGACCTGAACCTCCCTCTGCGGGATCTCTATAGTGCGGAAGCCAGAGTCATGGGAGGGGCAGGGCAGGAGGAAGGGACAGGCAGCAGAGGCGTGAGTGCGCGATGGTTGCCGAGATGCGAGGGCCAAGAAACCCAGGGAGACGGTGACTATGGAGGGAGGGTCAACAGAACCCTAGAAGGAGCTGCCAGAGGGACCAGGCCAAGTGAAGGACCCTCCGCCCTTACTCCCAAGAGGCCCCCCTTCGGGCCTTCCTTCCTCATCACCCACTTCGAGCTGGCCCCTTCTGAAGAAGGGCAGTGCCTTCCCCCGGGCCACCTCTGACCACCAGCGCTTCTCCTGGGTGGGACTTCCACTCGCACCTGAGGCTTTATGGTCCTGGTCTCTACCCACACACTGGCCACTGTCAGTCTCTCTCCTGTCCTGGACAAAGGTCCCAGGGGTCGTTCCGACACCCCCACCCGGAGAACCTCGTTCTGCCAGCCCTGACCACCCTCAGCTCAGTCCGACAGCCTGCTGCTGCCCACAAAAGTGGAAACAAGAGGGCCCCAGCCCCAGGCGTGGCAGGCCCTGGCGTGAGTGTGTCTGCCACCCAGGTTTGTAGTCTCAAGGTCTTTCGGGATGCCTGGCTCACCTATCAGCGCCAATGACAGCTGACTCAGCTGGAGTCACCCACCTCCCCGACTCAGCCGTAAGCTCTTAACGTCAAGGGGCACAGATGACAAACCCAACAGGCTCCCACCACCTGCTCCCACCCATTCCCTGAGAAAATGGGTCCTCCGATCTCGACGTTCCCTTTGAGGACGGTCATGGTCCCTGAGAGCTGCCCACGGAACCCTTCATTCCTTGCTGGGAGAAACCTGCGCTCCCAGGCCCTCCTACATCTCCTGACATCCTTGTTCCTCAACCGAGTGGAAGCACCAGAGTGTGAGAAAGAGAAAGACACAGAGCAGTTTCTTTTACAATAAATGCTATATTATGTTCAGTTGGGAGAACGGGAGACTTGCAGACTTCCTGTCCCCAGGTGAGTGAGGTCTTCCTGCAAAGGAGGCTGGGGGCTTCTGTCTTCAGAGGTTATTGCAGGAATGGGGGTGAGACCAGGGAGAGGAAGGGAGGAAGGGGTGGGGAAGGGGGTAGGAATGGGGGGAAGCACTGAGGGAGGGGAGGGAGAGTTAGGGGAATGAGGAGGAGGTGCTGGAGGAGCTTTCCCACCTCAGGACCCCACTTCCTCTCATCCTCAGGGACCTGGGGGTGACAGGAAGAATGGAGCCTCATAATGGGGGACCTGGCCTAGGGAGCACCACCTGGGGGTCCTAAGATGCAGAGGGCATCTGTACCTAGCTAGGGATGGGGGGAGAAGAGGAGGGAGGATTTAGGACTGGGGCACTGAGATGCGGGGGGCAGGGAGGTATTTAGGGCTGAGGGTACAGGGATGGGGAAGGGGAAAGTACGGAAACTGGGGGAGATGCAGGGCTGGGCACTGGGCTGTTGGGGAGAAGTGACTTAAGAAGTGGGTTCAGAGGGGAGAAAGTTTAAGGGATGGGGGCAAGGGGTGCAAGGGGAGTTATATAAGGAGAGGGTAGGAGGATGGGGCGGGCTGCAGGCTGGTTGCATGTACAGGGTGAGGACCCGGCAGTAGGGATGCACCCAGGAAAAGGAGAAATGGAGGCCTGAGCCCTGGGGAAGGACATGGGGATTGGGGATCTCAGAGAAGCCATATAAGCATGAGGGCCGACACAGGAAGGTGCATTGGGACAGAGGTCTGACCAAGCACATCTGGTTTTCACAATAATCCCACAAGGTATTAGGACGAGTGGGCCACACTCTTTTTTTATTTTTATTTTTTGCGGTACGTGGGCCTCTCACTGTTGTGGCCTCTCCCGTTGCGCAGCACAGGCTCCGGACGCGCAGGCCCAGCGCCCATGGCTTACGGGCCCAGCCGCTCCGCGGCATGTGGGATCTTCCCGGACCGGGGCACGAACCTGAGTCCCCTGCATCGGCAGGCAGACTCTCAACCACTGTGCCACCAGGGAAGCCCGGCCACACTCATTTTACAGGTGACAAAACCGAGGTTCAGAGAAGTGACTGACTTGTCCAAGGTCCCAGAGTGGAAGAGCCTGGATTTGAACTGGGTCTCCAGGTGGGTTTCACACAAGTTGGGAGAAGGATAGGGGTCAGGGGGAAGTCTGATGCTGCCCAAGGAAACCAGGAGACTGAGCCGCAGGAGTCCGCAGCCATCTCTTCAGAGGCAGTGCAGATGGTTCCCTGCACTGTCCGTGGCAGCGTGGAGAAGGCAGCGTGGGGCTCACAGTGAGGTCAAGTTCACCTCAGGTTTGTGGAAGTGCAGCTGCCACAGAATTTGTGAGACAGGCAGTGAGAAGAGGAAGCCACCCAGCAGAGGCCGGCTAGAAGGTCACCGCCTCCTTGTCCCTGCCCGGTCCCTGTCCTGAGAAGGAGGGCATCGGGAGCTGGACCTGGGAGCACTCCTTACCGCCACCCCACCTTGCCCCCTCACCGTCATATTAGTGTCCACGTTCTCCAAGGCCACATAGAAGTTTTCATCTTTAAATAGAGAGAAAAGAGAACGGGCGGGGAGGGGGGAGAGGGAAGAGGTGGGGAGCAAAGAGGAGGGAAGGAAACGTCAGGAAGGCAGGGCCAAGGGGGCTCCTGTGCCCCTGCGCCTGCCCTGCGGGGACGGCCTGTGCACGACCTGGGCCTTAGAAGGGGGCGCGGAAGCCACGAAGCAAACTCTGGGGCAAGAGGTATATGCCTGTCTTGGGCAAGAGAGGTCCTCCTGTCCTGCCCAGGCCAAAATGGTACCCAGGGAAGCCCCCGTCTCCCTTCCCCAGGAGACAGGACTCACTTGTTCTGTCATTCTCGAAGCCCAAGTTAGAAAAAGTCTTCACGGTGCTCTCATCACAGGTCTCGAACCACTTGCTGTCGTCCCAGGACCTGCCAGGCGGGCGCTGCATCGTCAGGGCAGGGCCGCCCGGTCTGGGACCCCTTTGCGGCCCTCAGCCCTCCACCCCCAGCGCACTCACAGGCCTCCGCCTTGGCCGCGCCTCCTCCACGAGCGCGCGACGAAGACGCTCAGCACCCCCAGCAGCAGCAGCAGCAGCAGCGCCGCGGTCCCCGCCAGGCCTCCGACAAGCGCCCTCCAGGAGACGGTCACCTCGCAGCGCGAGCCCGAGAACCAGTGCGTGTCCGTGGAGAAGCAGCTGCGGGGAGCGTGTCACAGGTCACACGCCCTCACCACCTCCTCGGCTTGGTCCGCTAGTGCCCCTGGACCACGCAGGTACTAGCAGGTGGGTGACCCGGGGGCCAGGGGGCGGGGCCTCTGGCGGCGCCGGCTGAGCGGGGTCGGGTGATTGGCTCAGCTGGCTGTGGGCGGGGCCTCACCGGCAATAAGGACCGCTCCTCTGCAGAACGCACTGGCCCTGACGACAGTCGATGGCGCCGTCCACGCCCGCCGTGCATTTGGTGACACACTGGAGCTTGTTCTCTTTCAGCAAGGGGAAGTAGAAATCCTCGTAGCCCACGGCAGCAACGCGGCGACAGATGGCTGGGGGATAGGAAGGGGGTTGCAGAGGCAAAGACTTCATCCACTCTACTCTGGGGCCAGGCTATGAAATGACTCTGAAAATGGATGAGAAGCACTACATTTCCGAGGGTGGGGTGTCGAGGGGTAGACCTTGGGATTAGATGAGGGAAGGGCAGGCCCCTCACCCTCTCCTCACCTTCTCTGCTGGTCCTCAGGTGGAAGCTACTAACAAGGGCCAGGCAGGCAGCACTGCCGGGTCCGTATCACTTGCCTCCCCAAAAGGTCTCCCCATCCTCCCTAGGGAATTTCAGTGGACAGATGTCCCTTGTGGGAGGGGTCATGGCCTCTTGGAGCCGCTTAGCCCTTTGCCCTCCCTCTCACCTTCCTGGGATAGCTCCGTCCTCGTGCTGTTGTTCACCTTGATGGAGTCAGGCTTAAAACACAAGACTGGGGGCGGGGCGGGGCGGGGGGACACACAGGCACAGGTGGGATTGGGGGCAGGCACAGGGAGGGGCAGAGAGGGCTCTGTCAGTATGGAGGAGGTGTGAATGGGCAACAAGGGAAGACCCCTTTGGACTCCCTCATGTCCCCTGAATAGTCAGGGGTCCTCAGCCACCCTGGAAACCTTGAGCAGAACTGTCTCTTCCACAGCACCCAGGTTCTGGTGAGCCCCTCCTTAGCCCCATCCTTGACCCAGTTGGCTGGGGACCTGTGTCTCTTCTCCCAGCCTGCCAGAGGTACCACGGGGCTGGCACCTGACCCCAGAAGGACCCTGTCTGCGCTGGAGCAGGCTGGGATGGTGGCTGTGACCCTGGCCCCTCCCTGCAGCCTGAGGCCCCCAGCTTCTGTTCACCCTGTGGAGCAGGCTGGGATGGTGGCTGTGACCCTGGCCCGTCCCTGCAGCCTGAGGCCCCCCGCTTCTGTTCACCCTGTGGAGCAGGCTGGGACAGTGGCTGTGACCCTGGCCCCTCCCTGCAGCCCAAGGCCCCCAGCTTCTGCTCACCCTGGTCCTTCCCGCAGCTGCTATTCTGGCTGACAGTCTGGAGCTCCTCCTTCAGGGCCACTTTCACCTTCTCATACTCGCTCTCCAGCTGGAGGCTGAAGGGTAACTTCAGCTGGACCAGGTAGTCCACAACAATGCTGCCATTCCTGAGGGGGGCAAGGGGGCAGGGATCCTTAAAAGGTGCCCAGGCCCAGGCCATCATAGGTCCGTAGAAGGGCACTTCCAGACCAACCACAACTATACGGGTGTTGGCAGGAAGTGGGCATTGAGCTGGGATTCCAGACACATTATGTCCAGCATCTCTGCCTTTATCAGCCTGAGTAGGTGGGACAAGGAATGATTGACATTCTCTTGGCATTGCCTCAAGCCATAATCAAACCAGGCCCTCCTGGGCTCTCTGCCTCCCTCTTGCTGACCCATCCAGCAGACCAGGTGCCAACTAGAGAGAGACCAGCTATAGACCAGATACCAGGCATCATCCCTCATGCACCGCCTCCCTGTTTGTCCCACTGAATCATTCACCTTCCAACATGCTTTGAGAGTAGGGGTGATATCCCTCCTACAGAGAAATGACTCCAGAAAATGACTGCAAAATATCCTCTACAGAGTGCTTCGTTTGCATCCTCACTCCATCCCTCTCTTTATGACATCTGACGATTCCAAAAGCAAGGGATGTCTTCTCCAGCACTTCTTAGTTCATCCCCCCCACCACTTGACACTGTCTTCACAGTGCCAGAAGGGTCTCCTACCTCAGAGAAAGGATCACCACCTCCTTGAACCCCTCCACATTTTGGTAAACCTTCTTCATCTGAAATGCCAAGGATCCTGGGCTCACATCTGAACATCCAGACCAGAGGGTACCCAGGGACCCAAGCTCAACTCCAGGGGCAAACCTTTGAGTTCCCTCCCCTTTCCCCTCACCTGATTCCGGAAGGTGTCCGTGAAATCCCTATAGGCCTTAGAAGTGTTGTCATTGAGGTCCGGGGAGAACTTCTTGTCGACAGAAACCTCCATGCCCACTTCAGCGTCCACTTTGTCTGCACACAACATTCCCTGCTCTGGTCACTTCACCATCCACTCCTGTCTGACATCGCCACCACCACCCTGACCCAGAGGCTACTCCCGTGGCCCCTCTCCATGTTCCCTGAGATCTGACTGAACAGCAGGAGGGAGAGAGGCAGGAATTCTGGAATGAGGTGTCCTGAGATGTGAGAAACACTGAAAGTCAGGATGTCCAGCAGTCAGGCCTGTAGTCTCTCCCACGTCTGCCCCAATGGGAAGCAGAATAATGGCCCCCAAAGATGCCTATGTCTAATACCCAGAACCTGGGAATATCTTATGCTATATGGCATGGAGGAATCAAAGTGGCAGATGGATTTAAGGGTTCTAACCAGCTGACCTCATTATGGGAAAATTAATGTGGACTATCTGGGTGGTCCGAGTATTATCACAAGGGTCCTTAGCAGTGGAAGAGGGAGGCAGAAGTCAGAATCAGTCAGAGGAAGATGTGAGTATGGAAAACGGGCACAGAGATGCAAAGCTGTTGTCATTGAAGATGGAGCGAGGGGGCCTTGAGACAAGGAATGTGGGCCACTTGTGAACCTGGAAAGGGTAAAGAGATGGATTCTCTCCTAGGGCCTCCAGAAAGAACCCAGCCCTGCCAACACCTTGATTTTAGCCCTGCGAGACTCATGTCAGATTTCTAATGTACAGAATTGTACAATAATAAATTTGCAGTGTTCATCTGCTGAGTTTGTGGTAATTTGTTACAGCAGAAATTAGAACCTAATACAACTCGAAGTAGCCCAGACTGGGAGGAGGTCCCAGGAAAGAAAGTGGTCCCAGCGACCTCCTGGAGGTGAGGGTGGAGATTAGGCATGGTATGGGGTAGGGGAGAGCATGAGGCAGAAAGCAAGGATGAAGGGATTCAGCAAAATGATTGGGCCCATTAGAGTCAGTGGCACCTCCCAAGAGAAAGTGCAGAGAGCAACTCACCCACATCTATGTGTCCCACAGCAAACTCACAGTGGGAGCCAGAGAAAGTGCTGGGGCAGGAGCAGTGGCTCTGCATCCAGGTGCCACCATTGTCACAAGTGCCTGGGGAGCACAGGAAAACAGGAAGTTCAGGACAGAATTGACCTTGGTCATGGGAATATAGCGGGAGAGGGCGGAGAGGCCACATGGAGGCAGGAGATCCAACCTGGGGTGGTGGTCAATCTAGACTGTGTGGTCATCTGAGTCGTGGTCAAAGTTGTCCTGGGTGACGTAAGGGTGGAGAGAGTCTTGGTGGTAGCCGCTGGTATCCCTGGAGTGCTGGTGATGGGTGAGGTGGAGTGCGTCCGCTTGCTTGAAGTCATCACGGTGGTTGAAAAGCTGCCACTTGGTTTCACGGTCACTGGGAGGCTAGTGGAGCCGGGCACACGTGGGGTAGTTACAAAGTTGGTGCTGATCCAGGTGCCACTGGTGGGTCTTTGTGTGCTCGTGAAATCCGTGTTAATGGGGGTGGTTCCAGTGCTGACAGGACTAGGTACATCAGTCATGTCAGCGGGGTCAGTTTCGAAAACGGAAGTAGAAGTGTCCGGTTTTGCAGGGAACACAGTTGTCCTGGTGGTGGAACTGGGACAGGTGGCCCTCTCAGTAGTAGAGGTAAAAACTGATAATGGGATGGTGGGCGTAGAAGTAACTTCAGGATTTGGACCCGCTTCTATACACGGTGTAGTGGGAGAGGCAGACACTATTGTAACCGATACTGAGTCTGGACATTGGGTAGTGGAAGAAAGAGTCAACATGGTGGTGGTTTGGGTAAGACGACTGCTGCCATTTTGGGGAGAAGTGGTGAGAGAAGTTCTTGCAGTTTCAGATGAGGAAAAAGTAGGAAAAGCAGTGACAGAAGACCCTGTGATGTCTGTACTGTAGACATGAGAGGAGGTAGGAAAAGACTTACTTGTCATAGAGACCGGTGAACTTGTGCTGATGGACGATAGAGATGATATTGTTATTTCAGGTATTGAAGACGAGATGATGGTACTAAAAGGGGTACTTATTGCACTAGTAGAAGTAATCAATTCAGGGAAAGGTGTTGAGGGAGAAACACTTGAAGTACTGAGAGCCGTTATTGAGGTGCGTGCTGTTGCCACGCTTTTGGTCCCAGACTGGGCTGCTTCTGTGGTTGAGGCTAGAATGGTAAAAGTGTTTGTGATCGAGGTGACAGGAGCTTCAGTGTGCGTGGGAGTGGTGATTTCTGTTGTGGACCTGGTGGGAGGAGTAGTGGGAGTTGAAGGGCCGGAAGTTGGGTGTGTAGTGGGGATGGTGGTGATCAGGGTGGACATAGGGCTAGTGTTTGCGGTCGAAGTGGAGACTGGCTCTGTGGTTGGGGAAGGTGGAGGGGAAGATGGGGTGATATTTGTGTGGGTGGGTGAGGTGCTGGAAAGAGCGAGTGTGGAGCTGAGTTCAGTGGTGGGGGTCAATGAAGCAGTGGTACTCAAGGATGTGGACTCAGTGTTGGTTGGTGTCATTGTTCTTCCTGTAGAGAAACTGGTTGAAGATGTGATGTCTGGTGTACTTTGTGGTATTACTGATGTGGGTGTTGTTACTATATTTGTGGTACAAGTCTTGGTTATTTTTGTTGTTGAGGCGTTGGTCAATACTGCTGTTTTCGAGGTGGTACGTGTTGAAGTGTCCGTTAGAGGTTTTATTCCTGTTTTGGTCATGGTCACAGTACTAGTTGTAAATGGAAGGGTAGATGTAGCCTCAGTAGGGATTGTGGCAGTCGAAGGTGATAGTGAGGTAGTGTTTGTTGTTTTAGTCAGGACTCTTTCTCCTCTCTGGGCAGATAGAGAAAGCTCAGACTTATTGGTGGCTGTTGTCGAGGTATTGGTGGTCACTGAAGTAGAAGTGGTGGATGTCGAATAATTGACTGTATTTGTGGGAGTGTCTGAATTTGTGATTGGTGGAGCAGCAGTAATCTCTGTTGTTTGAGACTCTGTACTAACATCACTGGTTGTAATAAATGTGGCTTTCCTGGTTGATGAAGCATGAGGGGTTGTGTTGCTCGTCTTTCCTATTTCTATAGTGGATACAGTGGTGGACAGTGGTCCCTTGGTAGTAGATATCACTTGTGATTCAGTGCTGGTGGGCACAGGGCTGGATTTAGATGTGGTAAATGTGGCAGGAGTGATTGCGTTTGTAGGAGTGATTGAAGACATAGTTGGAGAAACTGAAGTAATTGAGGTGGTGAGAGTTTCTTTGACAGTGTCAGTCACTGAAGTAAGTGTCGCTTTCGTGGAGCTCATGGTGTTCAGAGGAGTTGTGTTCCGTGTACCTAGTTCAGTGGATGCTTCTGTGGCGACAGATACAGCTTGTGTTGTAGGCGTTGTTAATATATCATTTGAAGTAGGTGCTTGAGTGATAGCTGTGGATGTCTGAAAGGTACTGACCACGTCTGGAAATGAAGTGATGGTTGTAATCAAGGTGCCACGGGTGCTGAGTGCTGTTAACAAGGTTTTCCTAGTAGTTAGAGAAGGGGTAGGAGCAGAGGTGGACACGAGCGTTGGGGTCGGAGACTGGGTTGCGTGGGTGCTTGCAGCGGTAGGGATGGCCCTTTGCGTGGTACCAGTCACAGAGGAGATCCGAGTGTCTAGAGTTGTGTGGGTTGTTGGGACAAAGGAAGGGGGTGGGGTCATGGTTGTGGGAGATTTCCCCGGAGCGGTGGTACTGGGAGAATTGGTCACGGCTGAAGTGACTCTCCTGGTAGTTGTCACGGGATAAGTACTGGTAATGGTTGTCCGTGGCTTCTCTGTCACAGGAGTGGCGGTGTAAGAGCTGCTGAGGGACACTTGGGTCTGTGTCATGCAGGTGGTGGTGGGGTAAGTGGTAGTGATTACCAGGTTCGTTGGATTGATGCACTCTGTCGTGCCCATATAGACAATCACGGTAGGTGGAGTGGTCTCCACCTTGAAGACAAACTTGGACATGGGGATTGTTGAGGTGTTGGAATTGATTGGCGATTTGAGCAACGTTTCAGAAATGGATTTCAAGTGGGGGGAGGTGGTGATAGTCATAGGTCTGTGTTCCCTACTATCTGGAGTGGGAGAAATTTCGGAGGTACTCAGTGGCCGCCTTGCTGGGCCTTGAGAGTGTGGGGAGTCGCTGAGAGCAGCGTGCAAAAGCGCATTAGAGGTGGATGTGGCCACGGCTGAAGCTCCTGTATTGGCGGTAGAACAGAGGAATTCATTGGTAGGTCGTTTTGTCGCCATAACACCACATAGGTTACTCACTACCCCATTTTCCAGATACATGCCACAGAGGTAGGAAGTGCCACCAGTTCCTCCCGAATCAGAGGCAGTTTGGGGCTGGGGTCTTTCAAGGTTCTAAAGGCCAACATATGTCTTCCCCCCTGGGCAGCCTCCCCAAGGGGCGTTGGGTTGGGGGCGCGCTTAATCCCTTGCTCACCTGTCTGAGTACTGACCTTGCAGCCCTGGGACGGCCGAGCTGAGCACGCAGGTTCAGCAGAAGGTCCTGTCTCCTCCCATCGGTACTCCCATCCCTTCTTCCTCACACACCCCAAAGTCCTTGTCCCTTCCGGTTCTCTGCGCCACCCCCGCCCCCTCTGGCCCACCTCTGCCCATCTCCCTGTGACCCACTGCTGTCTGGGCTGACTCTCCTCTTTGGAGGGAGAGAGAGAACCCAGCCAATCCTGGGCTGAGGGTGGGGACACATCATGGACTTTAGGAGACGAGGGGTCAGAGAGCAGAAAGTTGCAAAGAGAGTAACAAAGGGAAAAGCAGAGATTGAAGCTCAGGCTTCATTGAGTTTGAGGACAAGGAGAGAGGATCACGCACAGGCTGAGGAACAGGACAGAAAAGGAAATTTCCAGAAAGAGATACCTTGGCAGGCAGGCATGAGTCCTGAAGACCTTAAGGTGTAGCAGTGAGTGTTAATAATAAAAATAGCTATATATTTTCCATCACCTATTCTATTTCGGCCAAGGAATTAATTAGTTTACAAATATGAGCCCCTCCCTCTACAGATGTTGTCATCCCCATCTTACAGGTGATACAAGTGAGAGTCAAAGATCTCATAATGCTGAGGGTGACCGGCAGCCACGGCAGCTGCTAGCAGGAAGCACCCAGACCTCCTGTCCACTCGGGGGCAGCTTTCTCAACTCAGACTCAGCACATCTTTGCTCTGAGAGCTGGGGTTTCACTACTCAGCTTAGCTGGGGTGTCAGGGAGATAGGGGAGGGGAATATGAAGGTTCCTGGCCCAGAGCCCTTATAGCCAGGAGGTGGCCCTGGAGATAAGTGAGAGGGTGGACCAGAGGACCTCTATGTTGGGAAGGTCTAAGGTTGGGGTTCAGGAGCAGACACTGGGGGGCAGAGGGAAGGGAAGTGAAGAGGAATTCCGACGTTCCAAAGGGGTGGGAGAGAGAAAGAGCAGGACCCCACACCAGCTGGTCTCAGAACCACCCTTTGGGAGCCATCAGGCTCTCCCCCCACAACCCTGCCAATGACAGCTGTGCCCAGAAACATAGGCTAGGTCGGGGTGGGAGAGTTAGGGGCAGGGCTGGAGGAGGGGGCACTGGGACCAAAGGTGTAGACTCCCCAGAGAGAGGAGGGGGCCCCAGGGGCAGAGCCAGGGACCCTCAGGAGGGCTGAACCGATGGAAGTAAAGGGAGGGATAGAATCCAGGGTGGAGGAAGCATCAGTGCTGGGGAGCAGGGGCAACAAGAGGAAGAGGGCTCAGAAAACTGAGTCAAAGTGGGAAGAGCACTCTTTCAGAAACAGGTTATCCCATCCTTTTGATGCACGCGCGGACTCAGTCCCAGGTGTGGAGCAGCACCGCTGGACCCAGCTTCCCTCTCCTCCCTCTGCCTACAGCTCTCCCTGCACCAAGAGCTCTGAGGGGCCCCTCCTCAGCCTCCCCTTAGATCTCAGAGCCACCGCCCCACACACACACCCCTGTCCTGGAACATCAGGAGGGTCTCCCCAGCCCTCCCCCACCTCGCTCCCTCACCTGTGGCCCCCAGGGAGACCCTGAGCATCCAGAGGAGGCAGAGGAGCCTGAGTAGCTGCATGGGTCTGGTGCAGAGCAGGCTGGAAGCAGGACCAGCGCCAGAACGATGTGCACAGTAGCACCCAGCTGGAAGTTATCTGCCCTGCTGGGTGTGAGGGCTGAGCATAGGTAGCTTTACCTTTGTACCGCCCTTTGCCCCGCTGTTCCCCCCTTCTCCCTGTATCTGGCACTGCTGCAGGAAGAAAGGACTTTCTAGAAGATAAGACAAGCCCAGGAAGTGTCAGCCGGGAAGAGCTCCACCCGCAGCCTGCCTGGCCCACTCACAGCAGTTCCCAGGACATTGCCCTGCTCTGCCCTTCCCTTGCCCCCAGCCAAGAACTAGAAAAACTGGACAGAGAATACGCTTGGCCAAGACCTTGGACGCTGGAGTCTGGGGCCTCTCCTTAGTTTCATTCCCAGCTGCAGGGGGCGGGGAGAGATGAAAACTTGTTCTTCTTCACTCCCTCTGCCACTCACTCTTCCCCATCTCCATCCTGCCCTTAGCATGACCCTGGGGCTATGACTCCACCACCAGTACCAGGGAACAATGCAGAATTCCATCAGAAGTCATTTCAATATCTGAGGACTTGGGCCAGGTCCCAGAAAAGGAAACACAGATGGCTAGTGGAAACAATCAAACAAAATGACTAGCTTGGACCCGGCAGATTAGCAAGTATTAGGAACTTTGATTCTGTCCAATGTTGGGAAAAGTGGAAAAATAAACACTCTTACCCAGCTGGTGGGAGTGTAAGGGGGTTGTGCTGGTTTAAAAAGGCAATTTGGGGACTTACCTCGTGGTCCAGCGGTTAAGACTCTGAGCTCCCAATGCAGGGGGTCCAGGTTCGAACCCTGGGCAGGGAAAGAGATCCGGCATGGCACAACTAAGAGCCTGCATGCAGTAAACTAAATGGTCTACAGTCCACAACTAAAGATCCCACACGCCGAACCGAAGATCCCATGTGCCACAAGTAAGACCTGGCATGGCCAAATAAATAAATTTTTTTTAAAAGAAAGGCAGTTTGGTGGCATCTGTTAAAATTTTAAATGTATGCTCGAGGACCCAGTAATTCCACCTTTCCATCTCTGTGTTCAAGAATCACTTCAAGGAGGCATTCATGAGAGTGTTTATTGCCATCCAGTTTGTCGCATTTCCGATAGAAATTGGAAACAACCCAAATTGCCCTCCATAGGAAACTAGAATGACTATGGACAAATCACACTATAGGCTACCACGTTCAAATAAAAAATAATGGTACCATCATGGCAACACTCTTGGAACGTCTTGTTCAGTGAAACCAGTAGAAACAGCTTTCTTAAAACGCACACATGTATGTCTCCTATGAATACACAAACACACACACACACATACACATACACACATACATAAGTGCATTCAAACTTTGGAAGGAGGCTCACCTACTCCAATAACAGGGGTAAGTTTAGCTCAGAGAAGCATGAATGAACTAAGGTTGGGAATGATTGTCAGGCAACTTTGGCTGTATCTGTAGTTTTTCCTTTTTTCCTTTGACAAACATTATCTCCTTGACCAAACTCTAGCCTGGCTCCTCTGAGTCCCCCTCCTCACTAAGCCTCAACCCTGAACTATAAAGACTTGAACAGATACTACCATAGTTTCTAACCGCTCAAGGCCCCATCCCTATGATGACCCCAGCCCTCCTTAAAGTGCTTGCCTAAGAAAACTCAAGGCTGTCAAAAGACCTTACTCTTTGTTCCAGCCAACAACTGAAGACAGGGCTCCTGTCTCCTAGCCTTTATGGAGGGTAGGAGCCTAAATTTATAAGTGCCAGGTAGCAAATCGAGATGGGTTTCATGTGGACCACTCACCTCTTTTTGTAATTTTTCACTTTCCCAACACTGCTGAGCCCTTGCCTGACCTCTTGCCTATACCCTTACACTCCCTTTAAAGTGTTACTTTTGTGCAACTCGAAGTAGAGTTCACTTTATGCTAGACTCTTTTTCCTATGGCAATAGTATATAATGGATTAAAATCTGTCCTTACCACTTTAATGTCTGGCTTTGTTTACCTTTGACAACTTGGAGACTATATGATGTTTTTTTGTTTGTTTGTTTGGGTTTTTTTTTGCGGTACGCGGGCCTCTCACTGTTGTGGCCTCTCCCGTTGCGGAGCACAGGCTCCGGACGCGCAGGCCCAGCGGCCATGGCTCACGGGCCCAGCCGCTCCGCGGCATGTGGGATCTTCCCGGACCGGGGCACGAACCCGTGTCCCCTGCATCGGCAGGCGGACTCTCAACCACTGCGCCACCAGGGAAGCCCTGTATGATGGTTTTTTAAAAAATAATTTAGAGGAGGATTCTGGGGAGGTTGTGGGCTAGGACACACCAGGAATCCATCTCCCCACCAAGACAAAAATTGCATTAGCGGAATCTGTCTGATGTAACTATTTCAGAATTCTAGAGTCTGTTGAAGACTTGAAACTTCCAGGGGAAGACCTGGATGGTAAATTGCAAATTTCAGTTAATTTTGGTCAATTTTAGCTCCTTAGCACAGTAGCAGCTACCCATTCAACACCTCCAGCCACATAGCACGTAGCTATGCATGTGTTCCAGGAGTTGCTTGCACATAGCTTGTGGTAGGCAAAAAGGACTATGTACAAATATCAGGGATCTATGTTCTAATTCACTGATTGCTGCTTCCGGTCACATAAGTGCAGGAAAACAGGTAGATAGCCACTGTTGTTGCACCTCCCCCTCCCTTCTTGCAAGAACTTCCCCCTCCATCTGAAATGACTTCTGGGTGATTTAAAGGGCCAACACCCCTCCCCCCCCTTCATTTTTTGCCTTCTCCCCTTTTGGGATTCAGACATTAAAGACTAGGACATTCAGAAACTACTGCATATATGGGGAAAATTAGAAAGTGGCCATGCATGCCCAGGGGAAGGATTAAAAAAGACCTGAGAAGACCTTAATCTGCACATTATCCTGATCCTTGGCACAGACACAGACCACAATGATCAAAAAATAAACAAAAACAAAACAAAAAACCCGGCAGACTCTAGGGAAGGAGAACCTGATTTACAGAGTTGCCACACTATCGGATTCAAATGTTTATTGTTCAACGAATGTTAGCAAATGTTAGCAAACCAAATTCAACATTACATTGAAAGGATCACACACCATGATAAAGTGGGATTTATTCTAGGGATGCAAGAATGGTTCAATGTCGGCAAATCAATCAACATGATACACCACATTAACAAAATGAAAGATAAAAATCATATGGTCATCTCATTAGATGCAGGAAAAGCACTTGACAAAACTCAACAACTTAAAGAGTTTTTAAAAACCTCTCAACAAGGGCTTCCCTGGTGGCGCAGTGGTTTAGAGCCCGCCTGCCGATGCGGGGGACTCGGGTTCGTGCCCCGGTCCAGGAAGTTCCCACATGCCACGGAGCGGCTGGGCCCGTGAGCCATGGCCGCTGAGCCTGCGCGTCCAGAGACTGTGCTCCGCAACGGGAGAGGCCACAACAGTGAGAGGTCCGTGTACCGCAAAAAAAATGAAAACAAACAAACAAACAAAAACCCCATAGCATTGGAAGGCCTAGGGAAAGCAATTAGGCAAGAAAAAGAAATAAAAGCCAT